ACAAGCCATCGATTTTGCACAATCGAGTTGAATGCACTCTCGCTTTTTGATGTGTTTCCTTCCGAGCCAGCAACGATTTAATTTAACCCGTTACCCAGTTAAATATCTGGGGATCATCACTCACGCCTATCACTGATGGTCCTCTCGTATTATTCAGTTGAAACATTAGACCGACTATATTTCCATATTGGCTAATAGAGAACAGTCCAGGTTCCATGATCCCAAATTAGCACTAATGATTCCCGAGGTGTACTTCTAAGTCTTACTCTCCCGTTTTCCCGTTGTTCTCGTAAGCCTTTTAGAGAAAAAGAGTAAAACATTAACACACGAAATATCGATTATCAACCGTGCATATCTAATCTCTCTGGAGAAGTTGGATGCCGAAGTCAGCGAGCCATAGATCAGTGTATCCGACCGATTTGCACATAAAATCCCTAAAGACCCCGCTTCTCCTCAGCGTACATTGACTTGACCTGATATCGCTCTCATCTACTTGAAAGATGGTAACTCCGTCGAATGCTGGCACAAATAAATTCCCGCAAATGTTCAACCGTTTGATATCGGGCACATATCTGACCAAGCGACAGTGAATCGAATGTGATTTTCTTGGTAATTTCACTTCGAAACTTTTCCACATATTTACTGCCAACCAGAGAGATGATTGGTGGGAACATAATCGTAACAGTGAAAACATTACACATTGTCAACACTCTGGACCAGCATGCAATATGAATGAATCCATCGTACCTCCAGTTTGGTTCGGTGATTAGTAAATTGGTTACCAACCAGGCTAGTTTTCCACTGAAAGCGCATCCAGTTTTCAATCTCAGCTCAAATTCAACGCAAAATTATCACATTTTTGGCATTATATACATAAACGCTCCAGAATAATTTTGTGACAATATGCGAAGAAAAGGCACAGTGCAAGTGACGATTCATTTGATGAACATAAATGTATCTACATCAATGTTTGACTTATCAATTCGGAGTTCTGTATTTGAGGTCACCTGTTTCTGTTACTTTCACTTGTCTAACTAGTTACGTGAAAGTCGAATTGGCATCAGTTTTGTCTGACCAACATTCAGACTTCACACAAACTTTTCAACTCACAGAGCCGGTCGTACACTTGGGAAGTAACAAACTGGAATTTCACTTTTATCATCACTGTACAGCGTGATACAGTGAAATGAACTTCACTGATCTCTGCCAAACTCATATTGCATACAGCGTAAGTGAGAATGTGTAAGGAGGATAGGGATTAGACTAACTTCTAGGGACCGGAAAAGATAGCGAACCTCTGTGGTCAACACACAGATTACACAGTCCAACTGTGCATACATACTATTTCACGCATTCTAGTCTGATAAGAAGTGGCAGCATGATCGTCCTTACCGTCGGTTCGCAGTGGTGACCTACTGTGTCGCCAATCATGCGGTTATGGAGTCTTTTGGACCCCAACCCGGAAGACGAGAGACACCTACTCTGCCTAATCGCTCAGTGCATGTCTTTATGCCTCGTCTCCACATCATCTGCTGGCCTCCACGTGGCTTTGTCCAGCCTGCAACAGCCACTGCGAATAAAGCGCGACCGTCGGAAATATGCCAACAGGGCCCATTGAGCTGAATTCGATGCGCTAGCGAGTTCGTGTTCGATGCATTCCCAAACACCCGACGACTTACTTCTAGCTTACTAACCCGCTCACTCTATCCCACTTAGGTCAGACGACGTAAACATCGATTGTCGAAAACTGCTGAACTGCTAAATTTCACTTTACTTTTGTGTTGTCGGTGATAGTTAATCATCTACCCTTTAACTCAAGATCCAGTGCATAGAAAGCATGTTACCACAGTTACAACCAGCTTATAACGGGGCTCGCCAGAAGTACTGAGCGAATCTGATCCATATATGTCACCTTCAACAACATTTAACTAGTCTGACGGCAAAACTATTAACTACCTGCTCAAATCAATCGAATGCCTCACACTGAAACAAGTCTTTCAAACAAGTTTGGTTACATAATCTTTAATGAATATGCTTGGATAGGCCTCAATTTTACATTGCCAAGTCACAATCATGTTTTTGTCTGAGTAAATTCCGTTTCAACAAATCTTCAATTTGCCATTATGAATTCAGTTCGCGTTCATTAGAAACCTCTGGGTACTTGATCAGTGGTTGTCTATCGACTAAAATTGTGTAATGGACCTCATTTTTTCATTCACAAGTGCAGTACTATCCGCACATTCGAGACCCGATAATTTCACGTGAGAGAGTTTCAGGACACTTTCACCATCGTTCTGGTCACTGGTCAAAGAGCAGCAGCAGTCTGTCTGATGGATTTTGTCTGCAATATTTTCAATAACGATGATGATGATGTGCGTGAAAAAACATGGTCGCTCTGAACGAGTGCGAACCTCATCCACGTGAACTGCACCCGTGTCTGTTTGTGAAATCGATGCGTCGCTTCTGTACAGGCTCACGGGACAGCAGTGTGTGTGCACCAAAATGCACAGTCTGTGTGTGAGAGGCACGCATGAGTTAAATGGAATCGTTTAGTCAGATATCTACTGGCAATATAGCGTTTCAAACAGAGCCGGTGAGGCTGACGTGGATGATGGTGATGTGATCAGGCTAATTTCCCAAACAGTTGTCCCATGGATAACTTACCTCTTATACATTTATCTATATTTCACACACGTCTGAGGCCAGGCTGTATACCAAACAAATCATGGTTCAATTATCTTCTGTGGTCATTCTTCTGCAGGCTAATACATCGCAATTTATATCAAACTGTTTAGAAGGGGGGGGGAGATCAAGACAATTTGGAAAAGAGATAATCCACATCCCAGTTCCATGATCGGATGTCACTCACACTTTGGTCCTCACACATGCGCACTTGTTTCGATCATTAGGGGCGGGTGGGGGGATGGCTGTGTTGTGTGTGTGTGTGTGTGTGTGTGGTGTTGGCCATGGAAGACCGTGTGTGTTCTTACGAATTGTTTTTGCGAGCATAGCGGGGGGTGGGATTATGTAAGTGGATTCTGATCGTTTCCGCTATGGCCAAAATGCGACTCCTAATTCACTTTGATCGGCGAGTGCGAACTAAGTAGAGGAGTCAAAACACCTCGGTCACATTAACTACGTGGTTTGATTCCACTAGGTGTGAAACGACCAAGCTGTTCACGATCTTAATTATTCCACTATTCAACCAGGCTAGGTGGTGCTCACGGAATCGTTCAGATAAACGTCTACTCGTGCGACCAGGGTACCTTGCCCCACATGAACAGGTGCATAAGTACACACAGAAAGAGACGGCAGAAACAGGCAATTTATCTGAGTTGAAGGTATAGAAGTGGCCTGGAGATGAACACAACACGCAGTTTTGATGCAAGGAATGCTTGTTCTACAACTATACTCAGCTTACGTGTCACCATATTGGCAGTTGTGTCGCCTTTGAAAGGTGGCGATATGTAAACCGGTTTCTTCTTCACAGTAGTGGTCTTATTTGATAACCCGTAACGCTTCAAACTGTTGCCCACAAATCGCTCTGTGCATTCGTTTTGAAGGAAAACGTCTCGAATAAACCTCAATTCGATATCAATGGCATCGTCCGTACATATTATCAGCGCCCTGGTAGCGAAGTAATGAATCAGGTTTTTTTCGTTCCAAAAGCACATAGCTTTTGAAACTTCTTCGCGCGCCCTTCGATTGGCTGCGCTACGTTTTGTGTGCTCGTCGTCCCACTGGATTTAATGATTATCTCGATGTCAAACATGTTCCGGACCCATACCTACTCTCGTAAGGATATGGTAAGATTGAAATCTGTTAACTCTGTGCCTCACACAAATAATATGCTTGGAGAATATGGCAATCAAGCTTGGATCCAGAAGCGCAAGCGTGCTGGATGGCTGTGTGCGCTTAATAGCACCCCCTCCTGGAAAGATGACCGTGCTGTCATTGGTCAGTACCAACGTTCGCTCACTCTTCGCAAAGATCTCAAATTTAACTTCCTCACTGAACACACGCATACATTCCAACATATGTCGTATGCAAAGAAACCTGGTTAAATCAAAACGTTGAAGATGCTCTCGTGCAGATAGATCGTTTCGACTGTTAACGGCAAGATAGACAACATAGAAGGAAGAAAACTGGAGGCGGTGTGGCAACGTACATCAACACTTCTTGGTGTGGCAAGTCTGAAGTGACTTTCAGCTATTCTGAAAAATCCAGTGACTGTTGATCCGTTCGTTGTCATCCCAGATTAAGTACAATTATTGCTAATGTGTATATACCTCCTTCATGCTCCCAATCAGATATATCTTCTTTCTTTGATCAGTACATCCCGTTTTTGATTCCAATATTAGATGAGAATCTTCACTTGGCTGTTGGTGACTTCAACCATGCAAGCATTTTCCCTCTGCTTTCTTTTGGATTGACTGATTTGTCTCATTCTCCTACGGGAGGCAGCTCTATACTTGACCGGGTAATCACAAACCATCCCACTTTGCTTTT